TCCTAAACTCTCCTCAGGCCCCGTGACCATATTTACGACACTGCTATTATCCACTTCTACTGACACCTGTCTCACTCCCAACTCCTAAGCCAGTCGAAATCCATGAAAGAGACCCCATAGCTCCGACTTGTTATCGTACAGTTACCCATTGTTTATTTCATTGATTTTCAACCCGGACGACCCGACGGGTCAACCCGGGCTAACCGATCCGGGTGGCTATTTGGGCCGGGTAACAATGGAACCGGCCAAACCCGGTCAAAACCCGGCCAACCCAGACGACCCGACCCGACCGGGTCAACCCTATTGACCGGCTGGGTCAGCCCTATTGACCCGGTCCATATATATATATATTTATTATTTTAATATTTTTTATATAAAATTATTAAAACTATGTAAATATATTGATATAGTAAATATTTATTAAGCTATACAATTCTTTTAACATTTTGATGTACAAATTTTATATACAAAATATTTATTTTTGCTACTTTTATGTATATTTATATGTCAAAAATACTATATATATATAATTTAATTTTTTTTAAAAATTAATTATCCAGTTCAACAATTGACCTGGTGACCCGGCAGTTGAACCGGTGATCCAATGACCCGGAGAACTACACATATCGATTTCCGAGCCGGGTTTAAAAACTATAGTTCATTTGACTGGGATAACTATTATGTTCTTTCAATTGGATCATTTCGATTTAGCTTCCGCATTTACTAGACGAGTCGACACAGTTTTGTTAATTGAGAATATGGGAATGTGAATTAGAGTATCAGCTATCAACGCACATAATTGATCCGATCCAAAGGTGAATAGAAGAAAAAACCAAGGCTTATTTACATGTATAGACTTTATATAACAAATATTTTCATATATACTATTCTTAGAACCTTAAATCAGAAAAGAGTTTGGTAGTTTTTTTTTTTTTCCACACCTACGAGATTGTTTCTCTCACTAGGGAATCTATTTCTCTCTCCAATTAATAAACATGCAATCAATTTGCTCGACTGTTGGCGTTATATACTTAAGCTTTGCTTTAGTGGATATTACACTTGTTATTCCTTGATGAAT